TATTTCAGTTTTTATAGCAGTTGATACATTGCAGGACCTTGCATAACAAATGTTCTAGGGTTATAAGAGAGTACATATGAATCTCAAGGAAGATAATCTGCCTATATTATTAATAATAGTTTAATAGATAAGAAATATTCACAACAATGCAAATTTGCTGAATCTTCAAATTAGAATGTAATGATGCCAGTGACGAAGACAAGCTCTGAAGTGAATGTTTCTGAGTGGATACATTACATTATTTCACATAGAGTTCATTGGCATTTGCATTTATGTGGGAAATAATGGTCAGTATTTAGGTATTATGTGTGTGTATGCTTGGTATCATTATAAAATACTTTGAATTTCTTCTGAAATTTCCAATTTTAGGGGTCCTGTACCAGCACCTCTCACCAATGTACGGTATTTTACAACTTTGGAAGAACTACAGAAAAGTTTTGAGCTTTGTGAAGATTATTTTAAACTTCCCTTTGGCCCACATCCTGAAAAGAGGTAAGTTGAGGAGTTTTGTTAGATGGAATTGGCTATTTTCTGCTGGTTAGTTAAAATCACGGTACTCATCTCTAGGCTTCAGAGAAATCCTAAAACCGGGAAGCAGGGCCCTACCTCCCACTGAAATTTGAAGGGAGTAGACCCTACCCCTCCAGGGAGGGCACAGGCATATAATGTAGGTTCATACAATTGGAAGATTTTATCTGGGACTTTGAATCTTGAGGGAGTGACACAAGATACTGGGGCAGTTAGAAATTATTTGAGTCACCAGTGGCAGAGGAACCAAGAATTCAGAGGAATGGCCAGGCATGCATTGTAGTAGTACAAATGATGACGTTCTCTTCCTGTATTGCAGCTCAGCTGTGTTCTTGGCTCCTAGCTTACCTTGGTTCCTGCCCAGTTTTTAACCCTGATTCTCTAGTTTCCATTAATTCTACTAATAGAAACCATTCAATAGCCTTCCAATAACTCCCTTTTTAATACTCAAATTAGCCAGAGTTGGTGTCTATAATTTGCAACCAAATCTCTGATTAGTACAATGCTGTATCTCAAAACGTTTACCAACTGATGTCCAACATATAAAAGGACATTTCAGAGCTCCAATGTTTAATATGTCAAAGTGGGGTTCAAAAGCTGAGTATGTGTCAGTTGAGGACCTCATATAGACCCTAAGAGAGCCTCCACCACTGATTTTAATGTTTGCTTTTGTGGGCATTCTACTACATTCTGTTTCTCCTTCAGTTGTTCCTGCCACTGCAATTGACCATCTCTCTGTTGGTGTTGAATACAAACTCCCCATGCAAATATCTGGCTGGTGGGTCAATCACCGTCCACTGGGGGGGCGGGGCTCTTGGGTAGAGAGCTCTAGCTAGAGCCTTTATAGATTATGGTGTAGCCTATAGATTGGCTGCCCCTCTGTCACACACCCATTCTTTAGCCAAATATGTGTGGCCAGATCAGTGACAGAGAAACAAGTGAAGAGCTCTTCAGAAGGGGTCTGTGGGTATGGCAGTCTCTCTGGAGTGTCCAAGTGCATGGCAATGTAATAGACAAGAAATGTGACTGGAAGAAAGTATACCAAAATGTTAACAGTGGCTATTCCTCTAGAATTGCCAGTTGTTTTAATTTTCATCTTTATCCTTTTGTCTATAACTTCTAAATTATCCATTCGTCCAAAAATAAAGGAATGCTCAAATCGCATATGAATATACTCGATAGACTATTATGCACCTATTAAATATCAGGTTTCATAGAACTGTTAATAACACAAAATTGTTCACTGAAAATATGCACAATTACATAAAATGAAAAAGTAAAATTATATATAGAAAAAACAAGAGCCAAAATATAATAGTGGTGGTTTTCTATGTGTGATTTTCCTTTTTCCTTCTAGTTTTCTGTATTTCCTATATTACCTATAATGCACATGTTTTACTTTTATAATGAGAAACAATTAGTAAACTTTATTTTAAGGAAATTAATACAATGAATAAAGATAAGTCCACCTAAAGCTATTGAACTAAAGTATAAATGTGCATGGGCTATGAGAAGCAGAATTACAAAGACAGCAGGTCTTGTGTGACACTTACTATGTGCCAGTTCCTGTTCTGGGAATGTGATATATGTTATCTCAACACACATACATATTAATTTATAACAATTACCCCATGAGGATTAATATTATTATCCCAATTTTTAAAATGTGACAATGAGGCAAGTTAATTAATGGGCTAAGGGATTTGCTCAAGGGCACGTAACTACCAAGTCTCAGAGCTGAGGTCTGAACCCAGGCCAAAATGCTCCAGAGTCTCTGTGCTAAGCCACTTGGCCATGCTGCCTGCAAGGCTTAGAATCTAACTGAAGAAATTAGACATGTGTGATAGAAACACCAAAAACACAGAGAGGTCTGCGATGAATGAAAAACAATTAGTTCAGACATCTTTTTTGTCTGATGTTCATTATCTGCTAAAAAGGGGTTTCTTTTTCTCTGCATTTTCTTTTTTCTCCCCAAACCACCTCTTATTTGCTAAATCCTCCCAAGATATCCCAACATCTCCAACAGAAAATTCACATACTCTGTTGCATCCTAAAGGAACCCTGTTAAACTTTTAAAAATGTGAAGGCTCCATATTCATATTTCAACTCTATGTCTGAGGGGTTTGCCTACATTTGTACCTGTTCTTTTTGACATTTGCTGTTAATTGGAAATCCTTCTTTCTGTGTGTGCATGGGGAGTGGGGAGAAATTTTTGCCTGGCCTCAGCACGATCCCTTGACGAGGTCCTTCCAGCAACCGAGGGCACCCATCAGTGAGACAGTTGATGAGGTCAAGAGCACAGTCTATAAAATGCTTACATCAGCCACCATCTGGTCTTGGAGTCATTGGCCCAAAAGACCCAGAAACCTGGGTTGGAACAAGCCACCTGTGGCCGTCTCACAAGAGAAGGGCATCACTTTGGCTATAGCACCCTCTCCCTAAGGCCCAATGGTGGTACAATTCCAGAAGTCTCATATTTTCTCCATCTTCCCTTTTTATTAGTTGAATTATCCTACTCCCACCCCTGAACCTTCTCTTTAAAAGTATCTACTCCTTGTCTTTGTCCTGTTAGTCTTCCAAGCCAGCTTCTTTCTATCATTCCTGAAGTTTACCTTGACTAAGAAGCATTCCAGGACCATTAAGTTGAAGAGTGGAAACCTGCCGGAAAAGGGACAAGAGCATAAACAAACTTGGGGCTCCAAAGGTGGGAGGTAGAGGGTGTGTGGTCAGGGATAGGAGAGGAACCGTTCTACCTTTCTGTCCCCCTTACTGAGTCAGGGACTACTCATGGTGTGACTTCAACATTTAGTAAGGAAACTTCACCCAGTAAATCTCTCCCACTCTACTGGTTAAGCCTGAAAACCTGCCATGAGAGTTACAGTCCTATATTCCTTTAAGACTTGTTAAAAGACACAATTTGTGCAAAAAATAATGGTTTAAGTATCAGCCATTTCCATGTGATCAATTTCAGATTCTTTAATGAGAGCAAATTTGCTGGGGGTGAGGCACAATTATAGAAGTGAAGAGTCCAAAACTGTGAGACCCGAGGACTGTAAACAAAGTCCAGCTACTCTGCAATGCTTTGCAGCATAAGCTCCCCTGGTAGAGCTGCCTCCCTGGAAGGAAGCCGGGAAACAAGTGAATCTCATAGGAGAGGAACCTGGCAGTAAGAAGTGCATTGGCCCGGAAGCAAGGATTTCAGGCACCCAGATCATGCCCCAACCTTATCCTAAAAAGGGAAACAAAATCACAGTCCCCCAAAACTAGCTTTAGCTATGCCCATTGTGGGGTTCAGATCAGGCCACCTAAAATGCTTTTGCTTCCTCTATCCTTGAAATAGCAGGAACTGCCATATAAAAATTGCACTGGATTCCAAAGTCCTAGAGATTAGGATTTGTGCCTTTACTCTACTCGTGTTATCCTCTAGCACCCATCATGATGCCTTGCTCTCAGTAGCTACTCAGTTACATTTTGCACAATGCATGAGAATTTTATGTGTACAGTACTTAATGTACTTTAAGGTATGTCAGCTGCTATGTAACATTTGCTATAGACGCCATTTAAAACAAGCTCAATAGAGACATGTTTACCAACGATTCGCAGAACTTGATTAAGGTCACCCAATGAGGTCATAGGCAGAGATTGTATAGTCATTAGTAGTTTTACATCTCAAGAATATCTTTCACTTTTCATTTTTTCAGTAGCAAGGATTCCTATGTTTCCACGAAATATTCTACATTATTTCAGTCTTACC